AACCACAAACACAACCACAAACACAACCACAAACACATAACCACAAACACACAACTGCAAACACAACTACAAAGAGACAATTGCTAACACATAACGACAAACACAACCACAAACACAAAACGACAAACACAACGACAAACACAACCACGGCACACAACCACAATCGCACCCACAAATACACAACCGCAAACGCACAACTACCAACACAACTACAAAGAGACAATCACAAACACATAACGACAAACACAACCACAAACACGCAACCACAAACACAATCAGAAGCACACAACCACGATCACAACCACAAACACACAACTACATACAGAACAACAATCTGACAAGAGCAATCACAAACACATAGTGACAAACACAACCACAAACACACAACCACAAACACACAACCACAAACACAAACACACAACCACAAACACAACCACAAACACACAACCACAAACACAACCACTAACACAGCCACAAACGCACAACCACAAACGCAACCACAAACACACTACCACAAACACAATCAGAAACACACAGACACAAACACACAACTACAAACACAACTACAAAGAGACAATCACAAACACATAAAGACAAACACACAACCAAAAACACAACCACAAACACAACCACAAACACAAACACAACCACAAATACACAACCACAAACGCACAACCGCAAACCCAACTACAAACAGACAATCACAAGCACACAACCACAAACACAACGACAAACGCACAACCATGATCACAACCACAAACACACAACCGCAAACACAACCACAAACACAATCAGAAACACACAATCACAAACACACAACCACAAATACACAACCACAAACACACAACCACAAACACAACCACAAACACACAACCACAAACACACAACCAGAAACACAACCACAAACACAACCGCGAACACACAACCGATCACAACCAGAAACACAACCACAAACACACAACCACGATCACAACCACAAACACACACCCCACAAACACAACCACAAACACACAAATACAAACACACAACCACACACAATCGCAACACAACCACAACACACAACCGGAGGACCCGAGCAAAATCGAGAACCACAAAGCTCACCATAGTGTGGGAGGAATCAAATCGAAGATATGCGAGAGTGACTGTGGTCGGACGCAATTCGAGGAGACAGGCAACATCCTACAGCAAGTAATGTACATATTACTACTCCTACTACTCGGGCCCCGGAAGCTTCCAGGTTTCGGGCCCCGAACAGTGCACTACTATGGCTACTACTACCACACGGCCACCACCACCACCAACACCGCCACCACCACCGCCACGACACGACTACTACTACTACTACTACTACCACTACCACTACCACCACCACCACCACCACCACTACTACTACTACCACTACTACTACCACTACTTCTACTACTACTACTTCTACTACTACTACTACCACTACCACTACCACTACTACTACTACTACTACTACTACTACTACTACTGCTCGGGCCCTTGAAGTTTCCCAGGTGAAATGATCTGAGTTGTATTATTAGTTGGGCACAGGTCTCCTGATGAAAGATTCGTTTCGGACAAAACAGTAAGACTTGGCGCTGAAGGACTTGTGCTATGGGCTGAAACGCACAACGAGGGTGATGTCAACGTGGTTGTTTTGAAATGTCATGGTGGGGATCACTCGAAGTAAAGTAATTGAGTTTTTGAGTTTGTGTCTTGTGAACTAGTTGCGTTGGCCTCAAACCTGGCGCGATGGCCTCCAACTAGCGATGGCCTCCAAACTTGGGCGCTGGCCTCCAACTTCCTAGCGATGGCCTCCAACCTACCCTCGCCGTTTTACTCAGGCAAGTTTTTACTTAGGTTGGCCTGCGGCAAACCGCAACCGCATCAGTACGCATGTCAATAAGTCAATAAGTGTCTACCTTAATCCCCTCCCTCCCCTTTCCCTCCCCTCTCTTCCTCCTTTGCCTTTTTTTGGGACGCAACACTCAGGTACACCCCTCTCCCTGGTGCTGGGCTGGGAACACCTGTCCCCTTCCTCTTCTTCCTTCCTCTTTCTTTTTACCTCTCTCTCTCTCTCTTGCTTTCTTTTTCTCCTTCTTTTCTTCCCCTTACTTTCTTGCATGGGTGACCCTGGATGCTTTCGTCATAGCTGGGAACCCTTCTCTTCTTCTTTTGGTGTGTCCTTGGACGGTTGTGTCGTAGCTGGAAATACCGTTGTTTCCTTTCTTGTCTTTTCTTTCTTCTCTTCTCTCCCTACCCCGTCCCTCCCTCGCGCGCGACGCGGGTTTCATCGGTTCCTGTCCCTCCATTTGGTTCCCTTTTCATCCTTTTCCGCTTCACACACTTTGGAAGGGTCCCGAATCGATTCGGAACCGAACTTTCGGTACCGAAAGTCAGCGAATGTCTAGAACCGAAATTTTTCAGGAACCGAATGTAAACAACCGCCAATTGTCCAAACACAACCGAACCGAAAAGAAAAACACAACGTTCCGCTCTGTTCCGCTGTGACGTTTTTTCAGACTGTCCAAAGTCTTGAGTTTCAGAGCAGCAGTCCCCCACTGGAATGTCCAGACAGCATGTCACTGGCCGGGCCCCGCTTCAGGCGCATGCTGTCCTTTCCTTTTCCTTTCCTTTTCTTTGCTTGCCTTTCCAATATGCTTCTTAGACTGCATGGAAAAGGCATATTCACAAATTGCATTCCTACCTGTCCATTTCCAAGTCCTTTTCCTTTCCTTTGCGTTCCCTGACATTGTCCTTTCCTTTCCTTGTCCTTTTCCTTTCACTTCCTTTCCTTTCCAATATGCTTTTTAGATTGCCAGGAAAACGCATATTCACAATTTGCATACCTTACCTGTCCTTTTCCTTTTCTTGTTTTGTCCATTGCTTTGCTTTCCTTTCCTTCCTTTTCCTTTTCTTGGCTTTCCTTTCCAATATGCTTTTTGGAAGGCCTGGAAAAAGCATATTCACAATTGCAGTCCTTCCCCTTGCTTTTCCTTTTCTATTCTCTTTCTTTGCTTTCCCTTCCTTTCCTTTCCTTTCCTTTGGCTTTCCATTTTCCCTTTTTCTCCTGCGCTGTCCAGTCCTGTCTTGTCTAAAGTCTATAGTCTAGTCTTGTCTTGTCTCTTTATCATTGCCTTTCTTTTCTTCACCCCACTGCGAAACTTATACCTCACAGAACCGAAACGAACTGTGAACCGAACCGAAAGTCCATGAAAAAATACTTCTACAACCAAACCGAACCGATTCGAAGTTTCAATTAAACATTCAAACCGATTCCAACCGAACCGAAACCTTACCGTTCATGTCTCCCTGTCTGGACGTCTACTCATCCTTTCTTTAATTTGCGCGCACATCGGTCCTGGCCTTAGTCTGTACGCGCACCTACACCTCAAACCCAGGTCACCCAGGTTCTTACAAGGAGGTTGGGTTCGTCGGTTGTCCCCCTGGTCACTTACCCATACACACGGTCAGCCTCGTCCTCCTTTCACGTCGTAATTCTTGCGCGCGCGCACATTCGTCGCAACCTTAATTTTTCTCGCCTCCCTTAACGGGAGGCGTGTGTGTGCACCCCTTGGACTCACAGGATCCAGGTTCTCGGCGGACTTGTGCGTCGGTTCCCTTCCTTCTGCTACCCTCCTCTACTCTACTCTACTCTAATGGGTCGATTCGCTCGTCTCGCCCCTAGCTATAAACAGGAGGCTTCCCTTTCCTTGTCTAGCTACAAACTTGTAACGCTGGCCTCCAACTTGGCGCCACGGCCCGTAACGAACTAACGCTGACCTCCAACCTTGCTGCTTGATGTGTTTTTAGTTATTGAGTTTGTGTCTTGTGAACTAGTAGCGCAGGCCTCAAACCTGGTGCGATGGCCTCCAACGTACTAGAGATGACCTCCAACCTTGTAGTTTTGATGCTGCTTTTTGTTTGCGCACATAACCTACTAGCGATGGCCGCCAAACTTGGGCGATGGCCTTTGCCGTTTTACTCAGGCAAGCTTTTACCTAGGTTGGCGTGTGGCAAACCGCAACCGAATCAGTACGCGTGTCAATAAGTGTGTACGCGCGCGGGCGGGCGGGCGTGTGTGTGTGTGTGTAACCCTTGGAATCATAGGGATCCTTTCGGATTGTTTTAGCTTCACAGTTGTTTTCCTTGCGCAGCAGGGGGACTGTCTACCCCACAGAAGTGACAGTCCAACGAAGAGGCTTCTGTGGTGGTACTGATATCACTGGAGACGTCCAGTGACGTACCTGCAGTTTTACCTGAGACACTTCATCTTGGGCCCTGCTTCTAACTAGAACAAGGAATCCAGCCTTTGCAACGATTCTTCATCCGCAGACTCTGCACGTTCCGTCGTCCTTATCGCTCGATCGTTTCGCGGTTGCAATTTGGAACTTTGGAGCTTTTGGAAGATTCTGAGACCTTGACCTCGTGGAGATTTAAACCGTTTCATTTTGCCCACCCTGTTTTCCTTAGGCTTTTTACTTAGGCTGGCGTGTGGC